TCTCTCTGACAGAAAGACTCAGCTTCTCACCTCCTGTTCTAGTGGCTCACATCTGAACTGTTTGCAAGTCCACCTTAAATCTAACTAGAACCCTCACCATCTAAACCTCCACCCAGTCCTTACTGGGGAAGGTGCTCTGGGTCCCCCCAGATTCTCCTCTTGGATTTTTAGATCCCAGCTGACTGGAGGCAAGGGGAGCCCTCAGACGAGGGAGATACCTTGGGGAGAGGGAAGCCCTTCTAGTTATTCTAGATGGTATACCCCCAGACTAAAACAGGAGTAGGAGCCCTTGCCCACAAATGTGAGTGAGAGGGCACCCCAGTGCCTAGAGTTGCTTGTGGGGAGAGGCCCCAGATCTCCTGGCAGAAAAGATGAGTACCCCGCCCGAGGGAGGAGGCAGCCGTGCCAGCCCGCCCAGGCGCCAGGGACGCCTCGAGGCATTGGCCCGCCCCCTCCGCGCCCGTCGGGCCAGGGGCGAAGTCCGACCCAGGCCCGTGGGCAGGTGGAGACCTGCAGGGCTGGGTCGGGCCGGGCCTGGCAGGACACAGCCCCAGAGCGACTGGGTGGGGTCCGGCCAGGCGGCCATGGGGGCCCCGGGGCCGGAGGCTGGGGCTGGTCAGGACTAGCCGTCGGGGGCCCGGGCGCGCCCTGGGACCTGGCAGATACCCGGGCTCCCGGCTCCTGGCTGGGGGCCCGACGACACGACTGGCCCCACCCCTTCCTGTGCCCTTATATGGGCGTCGGGGACAGACTCCGGGGACCCCCTCCCCCAGCCAGGGGCAGACTCCGGCCTGTTGCCACGGTGACCAGGACCCGCTCCCCTGTGCGTCCCCCTCTGACAAGCTAATGGAATCGTCCCTTGACTGCCAGCCCCCAAGATCGCCCGCGGGCACCGCAGGCGGTACCATTGCTGGAGTGGGGGGATGGTGACTGGAAACCTCTGAGGCTGGGCGTGTTCGGTGCAACCCGGCCTCCGAGGGGGTCCTGCGCCCAGGTTCCTCTTCTGAGACTCAGAACCCAGCCAGACCCAGGGCGGGGTGCAAGGTCCCGTAGGATCCAAGTGACGGAGACAGGGCCGGGCTCCTTCCCCCAGGGCTGTTGCCACATTTCCTGCCGCCGAGTTCTTCCCCGGCCTGTTTCTAAGGAAGGAGTGGGGCTGGGCGACCGCGCCCCGGCCTTGGGGCTGGGTCCTGGCAGCAGGACCCGACGGGGTGTTGGTCAAGCTCAGGGTTACTGGGGGAGGCCTTTGGGATAGGGACAGAGTATACAGGCCCCTGGAGGTCACTCACAAGAGAGAGCCCCGGTCATGGAAGATCCAGCAGTCCAGTTCCAAAGGATCCACAAAGACCCTTCTTTTCCTCATGTTTCAGCCGAGGTGCCTCTGTCATTGTCATCTCAGCTCTGAAGGTGTGCCCGGACCCTTCTAATTCTTCGTCAGAGCTTCACAGATGACCCCAACCTGTGACAGTGTCCCCCTCTCCTACCACACATTATTTCCCTGACTCAGTGTATCCCAGGACCCTCTCACTTTATGTATTTCTAGATTCCCCTTCCCATTTATGGGGGACATCAGCCTCTCCCACAGACTCCAGGACCCCTACTTATTTCTTGCATAATGGGTCCTCGAGGGTACAATGGGTACCCTTTTCATCTCCCACCTCCTCACTTTTCCTGAGTTCAGCCGCTCCCATGAAACTCCCAGTCCCTCAACCCCATTGTACGCGGTACCCCCACTCAATTCCTGAGTCAGGCGTCTCTTCTCCTTACCTCTCTCCCACTTACCCCGCTTAACCCTTCCGTCTCTCTGTTCATAGCCCTCCAGCCACACTACGGATTCCTCAGGCCTTCTGTGTCCAACTTGGGAAGCCCCCCCACACGCCACACACACACACGCGCGCGCGCGCGCACACACACACACACACACACTCTGTACCAGTTCCTCGAGACCCTCATCGCGTACTCCAGGGGTATCATCACCCTCCCTGGAGCCGCTCCCAGCGTGTCTCGGATCGTCCCAGCATCCCCCTCCTTGCGCACCCCGGGGTCCCCTGAGCCCCTCCCCCTGCAGCCTCGCTAAACCACCCAGCCCGTGGCCGCTGTTTACAAGGACACGCGCTTCCTGACAGTGACGCGAGCCGCCTCCTCCCCTTCCCCAAGCTCGAGGAGGGGGGCGCTGGGGCCCGGCTCGCGCACCGGCCAATCGGAGCGCACTTCCGCAGCTGCCAATCGCCGTATAAAGGCGTGTGGCTCCGGCTGAGCGGCTGGGACCTTGAGCGCGGCAGGCCAGCGTCGGAACCTGCAGGGAGCGGGAAGCAGGGGGAAGCGACACCAGGGAAGCGAGCGCGCCAGAGAAGGGCAGAGGGGCTAGCGAAGCCGCACAGAGCTTCCGCGCACGGCGTCCCGCTGGCCTCTCCCGGCCGGTGCCAGCCCCCGGGACCACACTTCCAGACATCCAGTCAAGCCACCGCTGAGGACAGCGCATCGCTCGCCGCAGCGAGGCCCGGGTCGGCCCCGCAGGGACCACCCCCAGACCGCCCGGGCCGCCCGGATGTGCACTAAAATGGAACAGCCCTTCTACCACGACGACTCATACGCAGCAGCGGGATACGGCCGGGCCCCGGGCGGCCTCTCTCTACACGACTACAAACTCCTGAAACCCAGCCTGGCGCTTAACCTCACCGACCCTTACCGAGGTCTGAAAGCACCTGGGGCGCGCGGCCCCGGTCCAGAGGGCAGCGGTGGTGGCAGCTACTTTTCCGGCCAGAGCTCGGACACTGGCGCGTCCCTTAAGCTCGCCTCATCAGAGCTGGAGCGCCTGATTGTCCCCAACAGCAACGGCGTGATCACGACGACGCCTACGCCCCCGGGACAGTACTTTTACCCTCGCGGGGGTGGCAGCGGTGGCAGTGCGGGGGGCGCAGGGGGCGGCGTCACCGAGGAGCAGGAGGGCTTTGCCGACGGCTTTGTCAAAGCCCTGGACGACCTGCACAAGATGAACCACGTGACTCCCCCCAACGTGTCCCTAGGCGCCAGCGGGGGGCCCCCAGCGGGGCCCGGGGGTGTCTATGCCGGCCCGGAGCCTCCTCCAGTCTACACCAACCTCAGCAGCTACTCCCCAGCCTCTGCGCCCTCCGGAGGCGCCGGGGCCGCCGTCGGGACCGGCAGCTCGTATCCGACGGCCACCATCAGCTACCTCCCACACGCGCCGCCCTTCACAGGCGGCCACCCGGCGCAGCTGGGCCTGGGCCGCGGCGCCTCCACCTTCAAGGAGGAACCACAGACCGTGCCGGAGGCGCGCAGCCGCGACGCCACGCCGCCAGTGTCCCCCATCAACATGGAAGACCAGGAGCGCATAAAAGTGGAGCGCAAGCGGCTGCGGAACCGGCTGGCGGCCACCAAGTGCCGGAAGCGGAAGCTGGAGCGCATCGCGCGCCTGGAGGACAAGGTGAAGACGCTCAAGGCCGAGAACGCGGGGCTCTCGAGCACCGCTGGGCTCCTCCGGGAGCAGGTGGCCCAGCTTAAACAGAAGGTCATGACCCACGTCAGCAACGGCTGCCAGCTGCTCCTTGGGGTCAAGGGACACGCCTTCTGAATACCCCTTCTCTGTACGGACATTCCCCCGCCCCCAGCCTGGACGGCTGGACGCACGCCTCTCACAGGGCGAGGGGGCAGGCGGTGGGCACCGGCCCCGGGGCTTGGGGGCGCCGAAAACAACACTGGACTCCTGCCCCCCGGATCTGCGCCCAGTCCACTCGACGTTTACAAGCCCCGTTCCACGTTGTGGTTTTTTTTGTATGTTTTTTTTTTCTTCTGGAAACGGACTCGATTCATATTGAATATAATATATTTGTGTATTTAACAGGGAGGGGAGGAGGGGGCGATCGCGGCGGAGCTGGTTCCGCCGCCCGGTACTCAAGCCTGCGGGGACACTGGGGAGGAGACCCTCGCCCCCTACCCTTCCCCCTCTGCACCGTACTGTGGAGAAGAAACACGTACTTACTCCCGGAAGAGTTTATTTTAAGATGTGTTTGTGTGTGTGTGTGTGTGTTGTTCTGACTTTTTATTGAATCTATTTAAGTAAAAAAAAAAAGATTCTTTACTAATTTCTGTTGTCTTTTTTTCCAAGCCGGGCGGATGGAGGGAGGAGAGTATTGGGATGTCCCCACCCCACTGCTGTTTGTGGCTCGCTTCTGTATTTGTGTCCCCTCGCCAGCTCTGCCCAAGAATCTTGCGATCTCTTCTCGCGTTCCCAGATCCCAGGAGCAGGAAAGTCCAGGGCGGGTACGCAGTCCAGCCTTCCAACACCTGGGGCAGGGTGCCTGGGGCGAAACGCGCAGTGCGCAGGCGCGGCCCCGCCTAGCCGAGCGCGCCGGGGCTTTCCCTGCTGACGCAACGGAAGCGCTACCCATATATGGATGGATGCTGCCCAATGACGCGACGGCGGTCTCTGGGCAGATTCCGGGAATCCCCTCCCCCGCTCTGCCGGGCAAGGGCCGCGGCGCCCGGAAGGAGGCCGGGATTTTCCCAGGCGGGCGGCTGCCCGGGCCCGGAAAGCCCCAGGCTTGGGTCCAGAGCGTCCGCGGTGGGCGGGCAGCGCTCTTGGGTCCAGGGAGTCACCCCAGAGCCTCCTCTGGCTGGCGCCCTGACCCCGCCGCGCCCACGCTTGTCTGACCTGACTTGGGTGAGGGGTTGCTGCGGCTTGCGCGTCCTTGCCGCCTTGGTCCCCCTCACCCTCGCCAGGAAGGGCGGCGCCCGCCTGCCAGTTTCCCGTCCCGGTGCCAGACCAGGATCGGGGCGACTGCCAGGTCTGGTCCTGTCGGGGCGGCTGCTCAGGCCGCAGGGCGCCTCCCCCGCTCTCATGGGGCTCCTTCCCCCGCAGCTGGGAATGTAATGAGGGCGGCTCGTGCGCCCCCCAAGGAGGTCAGGCTGGCCTCGGAGTTGGAAGCACGCAGAACAGCAGAGAAACCAGGCAACAGGGGTGGGATGAGCAGAACACTTTATTAATTAATTTATAAACTATTGAACAACCTGGCCCTGGAAACACAGCCTGGACCACAGCAGGCAGAGAGATAATAAACAAGGAAACATAATTCGGAGACGGTGGTTAAATGTTAGGAAGAGAAGACACAGGTCCAAGTAGTAGTGATGGGGCAGAGTAGATGAGTTGCTTTGGAAAATGGGATTGGGAACATGGACCTTTAATGAGAGCAGATTTGAAGAAGCCTGGCCCTGAGAAAATCCTGGGTGACAGCATTCTGCCCAGAGGGAACACATGCAGTTCCTGCGGCCAGAGCAAGATCGTCCTGATAAAGAGAAAAGTAAGAAGCCAGTGTGCCTGGAATGGAATAAACCAGAAGGATGGAGATTAGGTCAGGAAAGACCACATAGGGCCTTCAACAGAAGCGTAGATAAAATTTCAAGGCTGAGATTAGTGACTTTGGTGGTTATTAAGCTGGATAGCTATATTAATAATGGGTCTACGGGTTAAATAAGCCTGTCCATCCAGTTCTGTAGAAGGAACTGGGGGCTGAGAGTGGAACCACCACTTGCCTGGGCACATACATCAAACTGCACTCCTGGGAAAATTGCCTTGCTCCTGACACCTGCCTGCTAGCCTAACCCTCACCCTCCACCCTAGGGGCTGACAGGCAGCAACAGGCAGCCCTTCCATCCTGTGGTGGGACAGAGCTTGCCCACTGTGTACATTGCTCGAGCTCCCTCCCATTCTTCGTTCTGCTTATGGACCCTCTTTACGGTAAGACAAACCTCTTTCAGGCCCAGAAGCCTGCCCTGGTAACCATTCACTGGGCCCAGCTTCACATACTTGATCTCCTTTAACGTGCATGATGATATGGCTTGGTTGTCTTTATTCCCATTTTCCTGATGACGAAAGCCAGGAAGGATCACATCGCTTAAATGACACTTGAACCCAACCTGGCTGATGGCAAGGTCTGGAGACTGCCCTCCAAGGCCAAGAAATGAAAGCAGTGAACATGGGATAAAACTGCCACCTTGTGGTGAAGATGAGTAACTACAGTGTCAGTTTCTCAGGCCAGAGCTTGGAGAAAAGAGGGGTGGGCCGGGAGTCTACAGGACAGACCACACCAACACAGACTCACATTTGTCCCTAATACTTTATTGGTAACCTCTAGACCTGTGCCTGGTTGGGCGGCTCCAGGGATGGGTCACCACTCACCATTCAGCTAAGAATATGAAAAGGCCTGGGACTAGCCCTTTAGGGTCACAGACTATGGACTATGAAGGGACAGATCTGTCCTTTCCTGGGCCAGCACAGGGAACCCAGGTAGGGGCCAAAAGCCCAAGCTTGGTGCCTGTTTGTCAGCCTAGTTGTGTTTGGAGAAGTATTCCTTGCTGTCATCCACGCTGGGCTTGATCGTGTCGCTGCCTGGCTTCCAGCCAGCGGGACAGACTGGGAAAACAGAAGGAGGCACACGTGAGGCTATAGTCCCATACTCAAGGCAGGACACAGTGAGAAGCAAAGCGAGATCGGAGTTGCAGAAGAAAAAGCCCACAGCCAAGTGATCCAGGCCCAAGACCATATTGCATGCTGACAGAAGCCCCCAAGCCCAGGTGCAAGATTTTTGGCTGACATTTCATTTCTTTTTGGCCCCTTTAGCCCCATCTTTTTCCCTCAGCCTCACCCCTACTAGACTTTGAGAGGCTATGGTCAGGCTATGCCCTGACCCAAGAAGGTACTCTGGTCCAACTAATTTTATTCAAGCCTGCCTTGGCACATGCCTTCTCAAATACCTTCTCTATAGATTTTTATTTTATTACCTCCCAGTTCCCCACCCTCATGTTGGGGTATCTCCCCCCACCAGACTAGAAACTTCCTTCAGATAAGGTCCTGAGCTGAATCTTCTTTGGGGCCCTCACATCCATGTCACACAGGTGACCAAGCAGGCAGTGAATGTCTGCAAAGGGACAGAGAGAAGGGCTGCGTGTGTACGCGCATGTGACCACCTGTAAATGTGTGTCCACTCACCTTCCCCATGCTTATCTGTGTACTGAAAGGCCTGGACCAGCCGAAGAGCCTCATCCACAGAGCGCCCCACAGGCAAGTCATTGACGGTGATCTGGCGAAGGATGCCCTTGTCATCAATGATAAAGAGGCCCCTGAAGATATAAGGGTTCACAGTGAAGATCTGGGCGCTCCCACTGGCAGAGCTAGGAGAGGGAGCACCATCTCCCTGCCAGCCATGGACTTGGGGACCACCCAAGATTGGACCCCTCACCCTGAGGATGGGGGGAGTACCCTGAGGCCCCTCTTACCTGTAGGCAATCCCCTCATCCTCCTTCAGCACGCCATAGTCATGAGACATGCTCCTGGTTACATCAGCCAGCAGGGGGATGTTCAGAGGGCCCAAGCCTCCCTCCTTCCGGGGGGTGTTAATCCTGGGGGTGGGAGAGACAGGGCTGGGACCTCAGGATGCCTGGCGCAGCAGGGTCCTCACCCTGTGGGACTGAGTGATAAATGCTGGAGGGGGGGTGCTGGACGAGAGAGATAAGGGGCTTTAGAGCAAGGCCCTGGGAGTCCCACCCACCCCACCCTGAAGTGGATGCAGGGGCTGTTTCCACAGCTGGGAAGACTCAGCTAATGCTCTGGTTCCAAACAGTGGCTTCACATGTGCGGCAGCCTGTGGCATCTTGGGGCAGAGTCCCCAACCTCCTTCCTCTCTATGTCCTGGGGCCTAGCCCTTCACACCCTCAAACTGGAGTTGCAACCTTCTTGAAATAGTTCTTGGGCGGGAGGCTGCTTTGCCCTAAGTGCCCTAAGTGAGATAAAGCGTTTGTAACTCCACACCAATTAACTAAATTCCAAATGCTAATTACTGTCATCATCATCATCGTTAAGGACTTGGGCGTCTTTATTCCCATTATCTTCAAGATGGGAAAGGGAGGTGCAGAGGTTGAGCGACAGCTACTAGAACACACAGCTCGGTCCCTGTAGAGGTGTAGGTGTGGCTGCACCGTCCCTCTCCGCTGTTCCCCGCTCATACCAAGCCAGGTGGGTGAACTGCGAGTCCACAGAGACCCCCAGCACCTCGCAGTCCAGCTTGCGGAAGTCCTCGGCATGCTCGCTGAAAGCGATGATCTCCGTGGGGCACACAAAAGTGAAGTCCAAGGGGTAGAAAAAGAGGACCACGTATTTCCCTGGAGAAGGGGGCAGGAATAGAGGAGTGAGGGCCCAGCATCTCCGATGCCAGGGCCCCGCCCCTACCTGGACACCCTTCAGGCCGCCCTCACCTCTGTAGTTTGAAAGCTTCACCTCCTTGAAGGCGCCATCCACCACGGCGGTGGCCTCGAAGTTCGGGGCGGGCTTTCCGATGTGAGCGTTTCCGGAGGCCATGACTGAAAGCTGAGACCCCCCTCCGCCCGGTCAGTGTGCCCGCGAAAGACCCTTTGTCCTCGCTTCCCAAGGTCACCCTGCGTGCTAGGCCCGGTGACTGAGTCAGAGCGGCTGAGGCTGCCTCACCGCCCCGAACCCTCCTTGGTACCGGCTCTGCCCTGCTTTTAGACCACGGGAGACCCGCCCCCGCCCCCACCCCACCTCCCGCTCCTCCCACGCGTCCTGCCAGCGAGAGCCGTACAGCCGCTGCCGCCAGGCTTCCCATTAGCGTGTCGGCCCGAATGCGGTGGCGCGGGCTCACCGCCGAGGGAGGAACCCCCAGCGAGCAGGAGACGGGAAGCACGCCAACGCCCTGGCCTCGATTCCCCCACCCGAAGGACAAAGGCGGCCACCAAAGTGGGTGAAAAACAAAGGCGGCCAGCGCTGAGGTCTGGAGCGGGCAGGAGGAGGCTCCGAGGGGGCTTCCCCTCGGGCCGGTGCGCCCCAGGTGTCCCTACCTGTTTGGGGAAGGGTGGGACGCACTGTGCAGCAGACTAGCTGACTCGCGTTCTCAGACACAAGTGCTCGCAGGACAGTGGAGCCTTTTATGCGTGGCCCGAACCATGACGCTCAGGGCTGGGGGTGGTGACGAGAGGAGCGGTCGGGTCCACTGTCAACGTAGTGGAGGGGGAGCGGAGCCGGCGGTGTCTGGGCGTCTGCGGGCTGCTGGGGGAGACGCGCAGCCGCGGCTGGCCGCGCCCACGGCGCCCACCCACGGGGGTGGTGAGGGCCCCGCAGACCCCGCGCGGGGCTCGGCCCCGGAGCGTGGCGGGGGCGGTTGCACTCCGGCATGGCCCGGGGCCCCGCTGCGCTACTGCTGTCGCCTCTGACATGCCTGCTGCTGGCAACCCCTGCCCAGGTCTCCTCCGACTACCATTACTTTGGCGATCAGGGTGAAGGCGACACCTGGGAGCAGTTACGGCTGCAGCTTCAGGAGAAAGGTAACTTCAGCCGCGGGTGTGACGGTGCGGAAAGATGCCCCCTTGCCCCACTTTTGCCAGGTGGCTGCAAACAGATCCTCCTCCATAGACTCCAGATCTCCGCCCAGCTCCGCACTGGCGGCCTCCCTTGGGCCGGTCACTTTTCTCTGAGGCTCAGTTTTCTCATTCGTAAATTGAAATAGAGAGTGTCTTTAAGCAGCTTACACAGGGAGAGGGGGCCTGAGCAAGACCCAAGCAGACACGCCCATAAACACATGGATAAGTGACGGGAAGGGGGGAGAGAGAGAGCGAGAGCGAGAGAGAGAGAGAGAGAAGGCGGCAGGTCAACTTCTGAAGTCTGACAAGGCCTGGCTGAAGAAGATAGGTAACCAATGCAGCTGGCAGGACAAGAAAATCAGAAAACGCCAAGATTTAGGGGAAAGATTGTTGGCAGGGAGCGGGAACAGCCTATGCCAAGGCCAAAAGGCCTGACAGAAGAATGAAAGAGGCCAGTGTCCTGTGATGGAGGCTTGTGAGTTAGGGCCTGTCTCCTGGATGCGGGGGGCGGGGGGGGGTCAGAAAAAGAGCCCTGCGAGGGCGAGTGGTTAGGCACTCAGGAAGGTGTAGTTTTAAAAGTGATTATATTCATTGTTTTTGTTCTAAGAGCTAGCACAGTGCAGGGGCTTTAAGTGTCTTTATTATGCTAATTATGACATTTAATTTACCCCCTGACAGACCTGTGGGTCAGGTGGCACGGTGCCCGCAGGCAAGGCTGATAATTAGGTCCCTGAAGACGGGAGTCAGCTTCTGAGGGTGGGCGTGAAGGGTGCTGTACCACAGTCTCAACTGGCACAGGCGGGAAGTGTCAGTTTCCAGTCCCCGTGGGTCGCTCACCAGATGTGTGAGCTCAGAAGGATGGCTTGCTCTTTCTAGGGCTCACTTTCTCCACCTGGGACTAATGGGAAGACTAAATGAGATCATTTATGGCAGGGCGCCTGGTACAGGGGCACAGCGCTGCAAACTTGAGCTGTTGCTGTTAATGTCTGCAGCTTCCTCCAAACCTAGAGGAGGGCCTGAGGGTAGGTGACCCACCCCCGACCTGGCCTCTCCATCCCTAGACGTGGAGGACTCAATCCTTGGCCCTTGGGGAAAGTGGCGCTGTCTTTGCGACCTGGGCAAGCAGGAGCGCAGCCGCGAGGTGCTGGGCCCAGCGCCGGGCCCGGTGTTCATCGACCGCGAGAACCTGGTGCAGGTGCGGCCCTGCCGGCAACGGGACTGTTCATCCTGCAAGCCGATCGACTGCGACTGGAGGCCCTGAGTTCGAGTGAGCGGATGGCGCAGAGAAGGCAGGCCCGGGTGGGATGGCAACTACCCAGGCTGTGCAGGAACAAAGGAAGGACGATGGGGGGCGCAGACGAGGTGGAAACCGGGAAGGGAGAACCGGGGTCGTAAGTCTGGGGCTTAAGGGTGGTGAGGGGAGGAGACGGCTGAGTCCGGAGACACGAAACCTCTGGGCGGAACTTCGAAAGTGATCCTTCCCACCCCGTTTACCAAACTCAAGAGTTCTCTGTCGGCCTCCAGAACTACAATTCCCAAGAAGCTGCACTGCGGAGGCGTAGTCTTTGGCTGCGCGCACGTCAACGGCGGTGGGAGCGTTGTGGGCGTGTCCTATACGCTGATTGGTCGGGTCCGGGAAAACGCGCCGAGACGTGCGCCTGCACGCCTAGTTCCTGCGGACGGTGGCGGAAACCGAGACGGCATGGACTCCAGAGAGCTGGAGAGAGACAATACGGGCCGCTGTCGTCTGAAGTCGCCTGTGCCCGCAGTGTGTCGCAAGGAACCGTGCGCCCTGGGCGTCGATGAAGCGGGCCGGGGCCCGGTGCTGGGTGCGCCCCAAGGGCCGGGGTGGAGGAGGGACATGATAAAGGGAATGCAAATTACACTGGAATGAGTGCCGGTATTAGACCGGATTCGGTGTTTGGGGGCGGGGGGGGGGGCGGTGAGAGCGGTGAAAGCCATGACATTAGTGATGGCACCTGAAAAAGTGGTGATGACGAAACAGGGATGGCGATTTTCATGGGCTCACTAGTTGGATCCCCACTCCCCCAGGCCCCATGGTCTATGCCATTTGTTACTGTCCTCTGTCGCGCCTGGCAGATCTGGAGGCCCTGAAAGTAGCAGGTGAGCCTTCGTTGTACGTCTGGGGAGGGGGTGGCACTCGTAGGGGTGGGTCTAAACTGGAGGGAGAAAGCAGGAATTGGGAGAACGAGCTACTCCCCTTCTCTCCCAACCCTTCTCTCAGACTCAAAAACCCTGTCGGAGAGCGAGCGGGACAGGCTCTTTGCGAAAATGAAGGAGGATGGGGACTTTGTGGGCTGGGCACTGGACGTGCTGTCTCCAAATCTCATCTCTACCAGCATGCTTGGGCGGTGAGGGGTCCCCGGAAGGGGCAGGGTGGAGGGGCAGCCAGACTGGGCTATAAGGGATCAATGGCTGGAATGGAGTTGACTGTGCTCTGTCCCCCACTGCAGGGTCAAATACAACCTGAACTCTCTGTCCCATGATACAGCCACTGGGCTGGTGCAGTTTGCATTGGACCAAGGCGTGAAAGTTGCTCAGGTGAGCTAACTGTTGGGTTGCTCCATTTGATCACCTCAGGATAAAATGGGGTGTGAGTGCAGTGGGCAATTCAGCATCAGACATCTGTAGTAAGTACCTCAGGAATATTTCTTGCTGCTGTTGACTTTCTGCTGCTTTTCCTATCCTTAATATGTACCCCACTGGGGGGCATGCACCCTCATCTAAAGGCTCATTGTCCAAAACAAATCCCACATCTGTCCACCTGTCCTAGTCCGGGGCACCCTCCCATCCTGGATGCCTGCTCCATCCTCTTCAGCACCCTTCCCTAGAGTCTGCTCCCAGTACAACAGCAGCAGACAGTCATTTTTTCAAAATGTAAATCTAAATATTTTAAGTTTCTGATTTCAGTGGAAATTAATTAAATCAGGAAAATTCACAGTCAGGGGGAGAATGAGATTAAATTACTAGAGAGAAATATAAGTAGGCCTGGTGTCAAGTGTTTAGAGGCAAAGATCCAGTTGTTTGAGAGAATGATAAGGGCTGATACACTTGAGGTAGGGGCTGCAATAAGGGAGGCATTGTTGAGGAGGTGGCTAGGATTGAGAACTGGAATGTGGAGTCAACGATACAGTACTGACACAAAGGCCCTCCTCTGGGGTTCATGACCAAGTCAGGTAGATGGGTGTTCAGCTGGTAAGCAAATAATAAAGGTGATTTCTGAGAACAATAGCTACTGCGGAGATCACTTTCCTTTTTCCCACCCTGACCTTCTCTCTGCTCCAGTCACGGGGCCTCCCTACTCCCATCCAGCATACTGGACATGGTCCCGCCTCAGGGCCTTTGCACTGGCTGTATCCGCTGCCTCAAACACTTCCCCAAGTCTCCATCCACATGGCTCATTCATTCCCTCATCTCTTTCAGGCCTTTATTCCAATGTCATCACTTCAGGGCGACCTTCCCTGAATTGCCCATCTCTGTTTAAAATGCCAGCCTCTTCCAGGCCCTGGCCGGGTAGCTCAGTTGGTTAAAGCATTGTCCTGATAAAGCCAAGGTTGTGGGTTTGATCTCCGGTCAGGACACAGCTAGGAAGCAACCAATGAATGCATAAATAAGTGGAATAACAAATCAATGTTTCTCATTCTCTTAAAAAAAAAAAAAACATTAAAATTTTAAAAAAGTGACAGCTTCTTCTCACTCTCTCCTATCCTTTATCATTTACCTTGTTTCTTGTCTGAGGCCCTTACCAGAGTGTCCCCTCCATGAGAGCATGGATTTTTGATGTATTCACTGCCCAGTTCCTGGTATTAAGTGCAGCCCATGGCATGTAGTAGGTGCTCAGGAAACGTACAGCAGGTGCAGCTTGATCAGGAAAAGCCCCTTGGGGAGGTGTTGCCTGCGCTGAGACCCCAGAGAAAGATGCAGCCTAGGACACGCAGAAAGAAGAGTATTCCAAGCAGTAGGCAAAGGCTATGAGGCTGGATCATTTGCACAGTGTTTGTCCCAGTGTTTGTTGAATGAATACATCGCTGTCACCTCTGTAGGTATTTGTGGACACTGTGGGACTGCCAGAGACATACCAGGAACGGCTGCAGCAGCGCTTCCCCAGTATTGAGGTGACAGTCAAGGCCAAGGCAGATGCCCTCTACCCTGTGGTCAGCGCTGCCAGCATCTGTGCTAAGGTCAGCCCTTTTGCTGCCCACGACTGGCTCCCAGCATCCCTCTGGGCAGAGGACAGGTGTAGCTGCCTCGGGGGCGGGAGACCCCAAGTGCCTGTCTTGCCCACAGGTGGCTCGTGACCAGGCCGTGAAGAACTGGAAGTTTGTGGAAAAACTGGAGGACCTGGACACTGATTATGGCTCAGGCTACCCCAATGGTGAGCAGACGGCAGTCGGGCTGCTGCGGGAGCTGCCCTGAGATAGCGATGCTGATGATAACTACGGCAAGGCAGGCCTGAGAGCGGGTCTGCTTACGCTGCTCCACGGTGGAAGAGGCTGAGGCCCAGACTGGGGGCCAGTTGCCCACGGCCAGAGTGTGGCAGATCTGATTTCCGGCTATCAGGCTCCTTCATCCCTTCTCACTCCCTCCCTCCCTGCTGTCTCTCTGGAGCCCCAGTGAGGGGTTGAGACCCATGGCGGGTGTCTGTCCATTTGTCAAGGGGAACGGGGCCAAGTGAGGGGCACCAGCTTGTGTCCAGTGGCCCCAGTTGAAATCTATCATTTTTCTCCCCCTCATGAGGCTCAGTTTCCTTTTCTGAAGTGGAAGTGATTGTGCTCCCCGTAACACACACACAGTGGCAGATTCAAAGATTCGGTGGTTGGGTTCAAGGAGCCCCTGGTCCTTCTAAGATTCAGGAAGAGACTTGCAGGTGGGTGGGGTGACACAGTCTGTGATTGGAACTTAGGTAAGGCCACAGCAAAGAAACCAGGTACAGGCCAAAAACAGTTTGGCCAGCATTCAGTGCTCACTGAGTACCTGGTAGATGCCATGCAGGGCCAAGCCCTGGGGATATAGCTGTAAGCAAGACAAAAAAGGATTTCCCTATCCCCACTGAGCTCATGGTTAACGTGGGGAAGATGGGCATTAACCTTAAGGTCCACAAATTCTGGTTTAATGACTGTTGTGCTTAGGGGGTAAAGGTGATGTCTGAGAGGCAATCTTTGTAAGTTGTACCTTGAGCAGACTGTTGGCCGGGGAAGAGTCAGAGTGGAACTGCCTGTGCAAAGGTCCTGAGGCAGAAAGATGTCTCAGACAATGGGAGAAACCTTAGGTACCCCATAGGAGGCTTGCAATGAGGTAGTAGGGCCTCAGATGGCAGTCTAAGGAGCTGGGACTCTATGACAGGGCTCAGGAGCTGTCACCATTGCTCACCCCACCCCTTCCCTAGATCCTAAGACAAAAGCATGGTTGAGGAAGCACGTGGAGCCCGTGTTTGGCTTTCCCCAGTTTGTCCGGTTCAGTTGGCGCACAGCTCAGAGCATCCTGGAGAAGGAGGCAGAAGACGTAATATGGTGGGTGTCCCAAAGGTGCTGCGAGGAAGGAGGGAGACTAGGGCTCAGCCCTGCCTGGGAGGGCCGGGCCCCCCGCCCTGCCCTCCAAAGCTGATCAGTGTTATCATCTCTCACCCACAGGGAGGACTTGTCGACAGGGGATCAGGAGGGACTAGGGAGGATCACATCCTATTTCAAGGGAAGCCCCCGAAACCGCCCCCGTCTCCCCCACCGGTACTTCCAGGAGCGTGGCCTAGAGTCAGCCACCACTCTCTAGGAGTCAGCCTATACCCCCTTTACCATCCCCTCAGTTTGTGATTAAAATTGCTTAAGGAAAGCCAAGCGTGAAGGTCGTACTTTTGGGTGAAAGGGGGTGGGGGTACATTCTGTGGCTGCACCCAGCTACTGAGTTTTGCAACCTAAACAAGGTGGGCAATGTTTGATTGATTTTATTTTAGAATATATGTTCGTATGATACAGAATTAAGAAGGACCATATTGAGAAGCACCCTGTCCCAGCTCACTGGTGGGCTTTGTACAATAACAATATACCACAGACTAGGTAGCTTAGTTTTGTTTTTGTTTTTGGTTGGTTTTTTTTTAATCCTCACCTGAGGATATGTTTATTGATTTTAGAAAAGAGGGAGGGAGAGAAAAGAGAGAGAAAGAAATATTGACGTGAGAAACATCAATCAGTTGCCTCCCATACATGCCTCAACTGGGAATTGAACCTGCGACCCTGTTATGTGCCCTGACCAGGAATCAAATCCCCAGCCTTTTGGTGTATGGAATGATGCTCCAACCAACTGATCTACCTAGCCAGGGCTGAGTGGCTTATTAACAACTGATGTTTCCCTTCCCTGGCTGGTGTGGCTCAGTGGATTGAGTGCCAGCCTGCAAATCAAAGGGTCACCAGTTCGATTCCCAGTCAGGATACATGCCTGGGTTGCGGGCCAGGTCCCCAGTGGGGGATGTGTGAGAGGCAACCACACATTGATGTTTCTTTCCCTCTTTCTCCCTTCCCCTCTCTAAAAATAAATAAATCTTTTTTTTTTTTTTAAAGACCTTATTTGCTTTACAGCTGAAGAGTCCTCCATGGCATGACTGTTCTATGGTTTAACACCTCTTTATGAACAGTGAGTTATCGCCCAGCTTGCTGTTAAATCTGTGTAATAGGGAACCACGGTGATAGGTCATTATTTCTCATGCACAGCTTTGATGGGTAAATTCCAGGAGATGGGATTGCTAGGTTAGAGAAACTATGTGTTATGGTGGAGATATTTTCAAATTACCCTGCTTGGAGGCTTGTACCCAATGGGCATACCTATCAGCAACGTAAGTGAGCAGTAAAGGTGGAGAATGAACCTGGTCTACTTCAGTAGTGCCCAGACACAGGAGGCATCCATCAATCTTGTTCTGTTGAACTAAAAGAAACCTTGTCCTGTCCTGGCTGGTGTGGCTCAGTGGATTGAGTGCCATCCTGCAAACTGAAGGGTCACTGGTTCGATTCCCACTCAGGGCACGTGCCTGGGTTGCAGGCGAGGTCCCCTGTTGGGGGGATGTGAGAGGCAACAGATCAATGTTACTCTCCCTTTCTCCCTCCCCCTCTCTCAAAAAAAAATTAAAATCTTTTAAAAAATTAAAAAACTTTGCCCCTGTTTTCCAGATGAGGATAAGGAGGAGAAGGATTAGGAGCAGCGCTTACAGGTGAAATCCTGAATTTGAGTCCAGTCCTTTGCCTTAGGGACTTGGGAGAATGGGGAGGAAGGAAGGGGGCTTCTGTTGTGTCAGGGAGCTTCTTCCTGGTGGCACACAGTGGGAGCACGCCCGCCCTCGTCAGCTCTTCTGTGACACCCCCCACCCCCTCCAGTTTCTGACACCTGAACATTCCAAGTTACTGAGACAAGCGCTCCAGGGCACAGGCAATCGGCACTTGCACACACGCTAGGGAATCAGTCGCTAACTCCAGGACCTGAGGATTGGAAGTGAGACACCTATCACTCTGGCAACTATCTTTCCTTTCCCCAAGAAGCTGCCACAGCATTTGCTCTAGTTGGCGACTTTATTCCGGGGCGGAAAAGGGAGAAATGAGCTAGGGTTGGTTTGTTTTTCTAATAATCGAGTCTAGAGCTCCAGGGAGGAGGGACAGATCTCTAGAAACGAGAAGGCTGAGGGAGAGGGGTGGAGCTCTGAGCGTCTACAGGGGCCGGGCGTGGGGTGGGAGTAAAAGGACGCATCTCCTATCTAAGGGCAGTGCCCTCTAGCGGCCACTGCCGCTTCCACTGCCACTCCCGCTGCCTGCAGCATCCACGATCCAGGTGCGAGGGTGGTGGGAGCGCGGGAAGGTGGCTTTCTGGGCCCTTCGTCTCTGTCTGGGATGCGAGGTAGAAATGTTGAGGCAGTGGCCAGCACCAGGGACAGCCACCGGCAGCGCAGAGCCAAGAACCGAGCGGCAAAGGTCCACCCCGTCAGTGAAGGTCTGGGAGAAGAGGGGGAGTTAGTGGGAGGAGTGTGATACCTTGAGGATGTGGCCCTCTGGTGCAGGCAGAGAGCGTTTTCAGAACCTTGGCCTTGGTAAGGGAAAGGCGTGGAGTTCTGTTGAGACTAGGGGCCAGAGGGGCCGTCTTGAGGTGGGTAATTCCAGCCTCTGGGTCCTCCTGGGAGTATAGGCGAGGGGCCGTGGTGGGGGCAGGGGCTAAGGGAAGGCGAATAGTTAGTTCTTACTGGGTCCCAAGGGGCTGGGGCCTTGGAGAAGGTGTCGGGCCCCTGGGTCTTCAGACTGGATGGGCCTGGAGCAGAGACAGTCCCTCGGGAAGGGCACAGTCTAACCCTGTGGACATTAGGGAGGCTACAGGCATACTCGCTGTGTATTTCCCTGTGGAGGCTGGGCTGTAGAGGGGGAAGGGCGGGGACTTGAGAATGCCAGGCCGACTCTGGGGCCTAGGCAGGTTAAGACAGCACGTGGTAAGGGAAGGTTTCGGCCTCTTCCCCGCGCTCTGTCCCACGCTCACCTGGCCATAGGTACTGCAGTCAGGGTTGCAGTCCCTCTTTTCTAGGAGTGGGAGCCAAGTCGGGCCACAGGTAATATCACTTTTGCAGGTGGCAAACCTGGAGTTGGGGTGAAGAAAAGAAGGTGGGTAAAGGCTCTGCAGTTTCGTTCCGGTGGGATTCCTCCTCTCCAGGGATCCGCCCAGCATATGCTCCTCCCACGTATCAGGCACCGCCTCTTAGGACCACATCCCTCCGAGCGCCACCCTCCCGATTCCGCCGGGCCCGGTACTCTCCACACCTACCCAGGGCTCTGTCACCACTGGCCACATCCCTGCCCACCCACTGACCATATCTATTCCAGGCCAGCCCCTTACACCCTCAACTCTTTCAGCTTTTCTTGTCCAGAAAGAGACCCCTCCCCTGTGTTTAAAAACCGGGTGTGAGGGAGGCCACGCCTCCGTACTGCCAATCTTGAAAGCCACGGCACTACGCGCTCCGACCCTTTCTGCCTAACCTCAAAACACTAGACCTCAGCCTTTAGAGCTTGGCCACCTCGGAGGCAGGCCGTGCCCCTTCAAACGCTAGGGCCTGCCAGCTGCATATCCCACCCTCGGCCACGCCCGGGGCCAGGACACTCCGCTCACGCCCCGCCTCTCTTACCAGGCCTGGCAGAGCTCTGCGCAGAGCGGCTGTGTCTGGTGTATCCCCAATAGCCGGAAGCGGAAGCGACTGCGGAGGGCAACTTGGAGTTGTCCCAGGAAGGATTCGCACCTGGGCATCGGGAGAGACAGGCCCGGATGGGTCAAGATATGAAGCCCTGGCTGGGGCAACGCAGCAAAAAGCTCAAGGAAACACAAACACACACGCACACATGGTTGGGGGGTGCGGTGCGGGGCTGTACTCACCCAGGGCTGGGCCCCCCGCAGCCCTCTAAGAGGATTCCAGGGTCCAATGGCTCTAATGTGTCCATCTCTGAGGAACAACAAACAGGGCAATGGAGAAGGGAACTCCTTTTACTTGGAGTCTTGGATCCCCAGGTATAGTTGACACCATTAATATAATTCCTCCCAATCATAAAATGTAAAGACACTTTGCTTGAGGTGCAATGCATCTTCAAGTAATAATAGTCATTTATCTTAATCAGCTAATTATTTTAATGTCCCTGGTAGTGGTATAATTTCTCAAAAGCTTGCATAAACCCCTTCCCCCCACCATGAGGTAGGTCTATTACTTCTCCCCTTTATTAATGGCCCACATGAGGCCCATAGAGGTTAAGTGGCTTGCCTAGAGTCACACAGCTACACAGTGGCAGAGTTGGGATTTGAACCCAGGCAGCCTGACTACAGAGCCTGTGCTTTCTAACTACCAGTCTTCAGCACTAGCCCAGGCTGCCCATCCTGGCCACCCTAAGCCCCTGTTATAAGAAATTGCTGGCATTGCTAGGTGGGAGTGTGAGTTCTTGGGTGTGGAGGGTTAGGCTAGGTCTCAAGAGCTCACCTGCGAGGTGTAGCTGGCCTGTGCCCAGAGCAGCCACCAGCCTATGGTGTCTTTGGGACCCAATGGGGAGTGAATGGCTCCCTCCACAGGCCCCTAGCAGGATCCATGCCAGGGTCAGTTGCAGGACCCAGACCAGGGCCCTGGGGGAAGTACAGCTCTTGCAGGCCATGTCCACCTGAGATAAGAGTCAACTGGGTTATGGGGTGAGTTTTAGCCATCCTCTTCTGGGAACTTAGGGTGGTACTCTTGATGCACTCCCAGGAGGCGGCACCAGGCAGAATAGAGAATGAGCAGCTGGTGAGGAGGCATCGGCCAAAGACCTTAAAATCCCAAGGTGCCACCAAGGACTGTCTCTGACCCAGGAGCACCCCTCCAAAGGAATGATGTCCCCTTCATTTGTTCAAGTCCATGCGCCTCCCAGTTTGACCATGCTGCCCCTCCCCCTTCACATACAGTAGGACCTCTCAACCTCTTCAGCCCTCAGACAACCCACTCTGTCCTCAAAATTAAGGGGATATCCCCAGCTCTTTCAGTGTCCCTCTTTTGCCCAGTAATTCCTCCATATCTTCTGTCCAGTCTCCTCCCTCCCTCTCAGTCCCCTGATCCCTGCTGGCCCCTCTCATGGTCACCTTCTCTCAGCCTACAATCGGCTTAGGGGCTGCCAACCAAGGCTGGGCCTTCGGAGCCAAGCTTGGCTGTGGCAGGAGTCAGGTTCTGCCCTGGGATCCAAAAACCCCAGGAGAGAGGAAACTGGGAGTCTGCGGAGACAAAACGATTCCCTACCCTCCTATGCCCCCTTGGGGCCACATCTCACCTCTTAGCCGAACTGAGGTCTAGGGCGCTGCTGAGACACTTCAAGGAAACAGGAAACAGTGGGGCAGAAGGGGCGTGGTTTGATGCAGGGGAGGTGTTTCCCACCACCCCGCCCCCTGTTCCAGCTGACCAGAGGCTGGAGAACCTGGGACTGGTGTGTATACATACATCCTTGTGTCTGTTTTTATGTTGAGGTTGTGACTTAAACTCTGGATGTATATGTGTGGGAAGTGTGTGTGTTGGTGAGTTAGATAAGGTGTGTTTGTGTGGCAGTGTGTTGAATGTGCTTGTTGTGTGCAGTTTTTATGTCTCTCTTGTGTGATTGTGTGTGTGTGTGTGTGTGTTCAAAATCTGGATAAGGAGGGCTGTATATGTCCCAAGCCAAGTATGTCCAGTTGAGTAAGAATCAGGTAATAAATATAGAAGAGGGGAGTGTAAATCATGATAGAATGGGTTTACTGTGAAAATGTTGGATCAGTGAGTGGATAAAGTCAGTGAATAAAGGTTGTTGACTGTAAATGTTTACTATGAGTGAACAAGGGGGTGTTATCACATGTAGAAAGGGTGTGTCTGCATCTAAAATATGTTTATGTGTCCCTTTGTAGTTTCTGTAAATGTGTGTCCTTGAACACATTTTCCCCATTCATTCATTCAACAAACATTTATTGAACGTTTGCCAAACTTGCTGGGTGTCAGATTCTGGGGATGTAGTAGCAATCAAGACATGCAAATATCAATCCTCATAGACCTCATATTTTAGTAGAGTCTAATAAAAACAGCCCTGCGGTTGGTGTGTGTGTGTGTGTGTGTGTGTGTGCGCGTGTGCGCGCACGCACGCGTGCACACGTGCACACGCCTATGTCTTGTTTTGGGAGGATAATGTGCCTGTGTGTTGGATGCGAGTTAGTATGTAGCTGAGCTTCCCTTGGTTTTGGGACTATGTGTGTGTTCTTTGATGAGTTTATGTGTTGTTTGTATATCTCTGCGTTTGCTGAATATGTGTATGTTTGCATCTTCTATGTATTTGCAGAATGTGAGTTTAGGTGTATATGTATCTGTGTATCTGTTTGCTGAGTATGGATATGTATATTAGCAGAGGGTGTGTGTTTGTGAAATATGTGTTTACCGAGTGTGTACATATGAGTATGTGAGGCTATGTTTGCTGAACAGGTGCTGGTATTTTGTGTTTTGCGTATATGTTTGCAGAGTGTATGCGTATGCATGTGCGCCTGTGCTCATAGATACGTTTTTGAGCATATGTGTTTTTGTGGGCAATGGCCACTACCACACATCTCTTCCCCTTTATTCTCAGACTAGTGCAGAGATTTTGCTGCGGTAGTCCTAGATCCCTAATTTGCCCACAGTAGGTGCTCAATATGAATCGAGTAAATGAACCAATTTGGAGGCACTGTCCTGGGGCTCCTCTGTGGGCACCCATTGATGTCCTGGAGGCGTCAGAAACCAAGACCTAGTGGACTTAGCCTTCCCTTGGCCCATCCTGGCGTAGTCCAGGATGCTCGTAAGTCCTATCTATCCAGCCTGTGGTCTGTGCCTCCCGCCAGCCATTCCCCTCCCTGACCTCGGCCCCGTGCTCTGCGCGCTTATTTCAGCACCGTGGACAGGAGCTCGCGAGATCAGCACCACGGAGAGCTCCCGCGACGGCAGTCCTGAGAAGGGGCGACACCGGCGGAATCTGGTTCTTGGACACAAAAATACGAGGAACGGACTTAGGGAGACCGCAACACAAACAGGCCGATAGAGAGAGACAGATAACTGAGGCAAACGCGTAGAGATAAGGAGTCAGGCGTCGGAGGGACACCCTGACTTCGACCTCGCTGTTGCCTTAGCTGACAGGCAGGGGTCGCCCCCGGCTAGCGATGGCGTCTTCCACGGCTTTCGGGCCAGTTATAGGCCGGATCTTCCGGGAAGCCCCTTCCCCACACTGTCTCCCAAGGCCTACATTTAGGGTAGGGAGTCCTCCAACACTTTGCACTCTGACTCCAGGGGGCATGGCCAGTTGGACCTCAACTGTGGGAACACTGCGGAGGGAGGGGGGTTTGAAAATCGCTTCAGCTGTCCCCCTCCCCCAAAGACCTGCTAATCACTCCTATAAATACAGCCCGGTCTGGCCTGGCTCCTTAATCCTGACGGGGAGGGAGGGGTCAGTAGAGGGGCTGCAGGACTCTGCTTGGAAAAAGGGGCGGTATATGTATGTAAATGGTCTTCTGAGGGGGCACTCCCACGAGGGCAGAGCTCTTCCGTGGAAATGCCACTCTAAAATGTCTCTCCTTGGGATGTGGGCGCCTTGTGGGTGGGAACAACTTCCCACAGAGAATATAGCACTTAGGGGGTCTTTTATTGAGAGTATCCTCACTCGGCTCCCCACGTGAAATGTCACCCATGGAGATTTTTCTATGCAGAGATGTTCCTTTCTGGGGGAGGGGGCTTTTGGAGGAATTGTCACCTCGCACAGACCATCTGTCTTAGGAATCATTTTCAGGGTGAGGGGAGGGTTTCGCTGGAGAAGGCCTGCCATGGAGACTGTCCCCGGGGGAATGTGTCTCCCTGAGAGGGTCGCTGGGGCAGTTGCACAGGGCATGAGTCTCAGTGAGGATGTCTCTCTTAAGGTGTTTCATGGGGTCCACTCATGAGCATGCTTCTCCCCGGGGGAGTCTCCTTGTAGGGGTCTCCCGGTAGCTTGGCACGCTCGGGTTATCTGGAGGCCCCTCCTTTCCCCCCTCCCCCCCACCCCACCCCGCAGCTCGGGGAGCCTAGGCCGAGGCCAGCTCGGGCGCCCAGACGCAGTGACGGTGCCAGACCCGCCCCACTTCGCTCCGCCCCCTCACCCCCCAGCCGCCGTCGCCGCCGCGGTCCCCGCGGCTTCTCCCTCCCTTCTCCCTCCTCCCGCCACCGCCGCCGCCGACGCCGTCGCCTCCCTCCTCCCTCCCCCGGGCCGCAGCCGCCTCCGCTGCCATGGACGACTCTGGCCTGATCCGCCGCCGGAGGCTGCAGGTAGGTGGTGGCCGCGGCCCGGGTAGAGGGGAAGGGGTCGGCGCCCTGGGGCGGAGCCCCGCTGGGGCCGGGAGAACTTGCGCCAGGGTCGGCCCCGGCGGTCCCTCACCCGGCCTGGAGCTGCTACCCGCAGGGAACTCGGTGGCGGCTCGTCCTGCCGCGCTGGGAACCCCGCCCCTCAGGCGCCGCCCGGGGATCCAGGAAGCTGAAAGGGGTGCAGCCGCACTCCACCTCGAAGATAGCCTGATGCGCGTCTCGGCCGCCGGAGGGGAAGGGGGCTGGGACCGAAGTCACTGCCCTGGCACTCTGCCAGGCTGGGGGTGAGGGGGTGTAGAGCAAAGTTATGGCCCAAGGGCTCGAGCCCCTCGGGGCCGCCAGCGCTGCCAGAGCCATAAACATGTTTGTGTGGCAGCTTCACCCCTTACCACCTCGAGAGCCTCTTTTGGAGGTGCGGGGACCCCCTGCGACCTCCATGCACCTGCCCTGGCATCCAGGATTCTTTCTACTGACCTAATTGGACAGGCACCTAGACAGCCTTCCTCCTCACTCTATTCCACCCCTCTTTACTACACCTCCCCCCATGCTCAAGTCCAGGGCAGCTTGTGGGTGGGCGGGAGCGATTTTTAGCTCCTTGCAGCCTTAGAAGATGCTGGTCTCCAGGCTGCGCAGGCGCGGGAGGTGTGAGTCCACTGCACGGAGTGGGACACTGAGGATTGTTGTGGAGTATAGGCAGGCAGGGACAAATCCAGACGTCAGGAACTCCCACTTCCAACATGGGTGGGGACTCTGAAGCCGAGAAGGCTCTTCTCCTGTCTTTGGTGTGAGCTTCTAAGGGTTAATACAGGGGTTTGGGGTTGCTCTCAAACCGACCCCAGAGGGAAAACTGATCAAAGCTTTGCCCCAAGGCCTGCCTGGGATCTGGTTCTTCTGAGTCTCGTTGGAGCTCAGCCCCATGCTAGATAACCTGGAGTGGTTTACGTAAAGCCTTACGTGGACCCAGACTCAGGCTATGTCTCTTGCCTGAGGCTTGGTAAAAGAAGGGGAAGATTCAAACCCTCATCCAGAGTCTCATCCCTTTCTGGGCTCCTCTAATTCATCATCCCTGAGGTTGGAGACCAAGGAGAGGTGACCAGTCATTGCAGCAGGAAAAATCGGGGTCAGGTGGCAGGAAGGACTTTCCAGGCGTCTGGATGAGGCTGGAGCCAGACCTGATGTTGGAAAGCTGTTTTGCTTTCAAACAGAGCCCAGATGGCCCCATCTAGGAGCCTTGGGCTCCTCAGGTCTTCCCTGGATTCCCTTCTCAATCCAGGGCTGATTTAGGAGAAAGGTCCTCAGGAAAGGGAGGGCGAGAACTGTGGCAAAGCCAAAGCTAGTGCTAAAGGAGCCAGACGGGGTACGCGCCCTCGGGTCTCCAGGAAAAAGGAGGAAAGGGGCGGTGCCTGTATGGGGTGTATCCCCGCCCTCCAGACCGGCGCCGATTTCCATTGGCTCAACGCCACGCGGGATTTCTGTCTCTCTCGCAAGACCCCACCCTCAGCCCGGGATCCTCCCTCTCACCCTCCAGTCAGTCCGGAGGCTACCTCTAGTCCTGGATATTGGCCTGAGTCTTGCCCCTACCTCTTCCCTCTGGGAGGGTTCCAGTGTGCTGCCTAGATACACCCTCACACTGGTGCATCCCTTTAGGAACTGTATGTCCCACAACCGCTGAGTGCCCGAGGGTTCCCTGTGAGCAGTCGGGATCGTATACATGGGCATCATCCTGAATCCCACTGCCCTCTCCGCAGAGCCGTCCATTAATCTTAGGGAGAGGGAGCATCCACTTGGCACAGCCGCTCTGCAGCTGGGGATGAATGTGGCGTCTTTTAACACTGACGCCAAGGATCCAAATCCTCTACCACTCCAGTTTGCTCCTTTGCTCGACTTTAGCATGATTAGGGGCGCTAGCGGATGGGGCCAGGTTTGAGGACTTCTTCAAAAGGGGCTTTAATGTCTCCCAGGGGCTCACCCTCGAAGGCCATGTGTACCCCGGTTTGGAGTCCTGGGCTCCGTGACCAGAAAATCCAGGCCTTGATTTCGCTTGGGCCATTGCAGTAGCGAGGCCGGCCGGGCTGATCCAAGATGCAGCTCATTCAAGCTGATCCTGCAAAGAGAGGGGGAAAACCCGGTATGGATTTCAGGACACCCAATGGCTCAGGATCGCAGGACTGCTGAGGGGGACAGTGTGCCCCTTCACCCTGATGATTCCTGTGTCCTCCGTACACAGCAGTGGGAAGTTCCTCTGGCCCATCTTCTGTCACACAATGGATCCATCCACAATAATTCCTGTTCCCAGGACCTATTGTTGAGTGCTAACTCTGTAGTAGGCATCATGCTGAGGTGCTAGGCATCTATATCATCTCACAGAATTCTCTAGGAGACACGACTATTGCAAGGTCATTTGCCAAGGCTATAAGAGACAACGCTGGGATTTGAACCCATGGCTTTCTGCTTTCAGTGATCCCAAAGAGGATTAATTATCTCCTGGTTGGAGTCCTCAACAAAAGGGCTCAGGAAACCCTCACCCAAACCTGGAAGCCCTACCCAGTCACCTTTATTCACATCAGCCTGGGGACTCAGGGCAGGCTGGAAGGTGACACCCCTCCTCCTCATTGCTCTCTGAAAAGGGTCAGACCCGTGTAATCTCTGGTCCCTTTAGTGACTTCCTGTATGCTTGACAAGCAGAAGATGACCATCTTCTGATGTGTGCACATAAAGTTAGTGGCTACCAATTATTATCACTGCCATTATCAAAAAGAGACCACCTAGCCACTGCCTGATTCCCAATTCAAATCTCAGTTTTGAGCAACTGTAAGTACTTGCACCCCCAACTCAGTGGATCTGGCTGAGAGTGGGATAGAACTCGTGGAGTGTGGAGGAATCATTCATTCATTCATTTGTTCATCCTTTCATGCTTGAGCATGCCAAGTTTATTCCTGCCTCCATGCCTTTGCAGTTTCCTCTACCTTGATTGCTTTCTCCACAGATCCTCCCATGGCTGCTTCTTATTTACATCAATCATCTTAAAAGTCACCTCCCCTGAGAAGCCCTCTGGGACCATTGTGACCCCTCCTAGCCATTTTTCGTCACATCAATTTTCTTTATTTTATTCTTGACAACTTATTACTGTCTAAAATGATGTCGTTCATGCCTACATTGATCTTGCCTGCTTCCCTCCTCCAAATGCTAGTCACAAAAGGGCAGGAATTTTTTATTTGTCTTATTTACGGCTGTGTCCCCAGTGCCTAGCACAGTGCCTGGCATGCAGTAGGTGCTCAAGAAATATATTTTTAAAAATAGTCTCCTATTTCATTTGCACATATACACATTGAGACACCAACTTAGGAGTTCTCTATGGGGCACTGTGCTGGTCTCTGAGGGTCTGAGGAGGAATCAACCTGGCCCACCCCATCCCTATCCCGCAGTCGTCAGGGCATGGCCAAGAGTGCAGGCAATGATACTGATGAGGGGCCTGTGTCACCCAGCTTCTCCTGAGACTTGGCTGCTGGCCCATGCTGACCTCTATCTTTTCTTTTTTTTTTAAGATTTTATTTATTTTGACCTCTATCCTTTTGCTCCTTTGCCTTCCAGAAGGATTTGCCGCTGCCTCGGAAAAGCAGCAGGTGAGCCTTGGGGAGAGATGCTTTGAGCTGAACACCCTTTCTCCGGCAGGGGTTGGGGCCTATATAGGCGCGCTCGCGGGTGGGGCCTGGCGCTCTGGAGTCCCGCAGCGCCCCCTCCTGGCAGGCGGCAGCCGCACGGCCCTCCCCTCCCCCGCCCTTCTCTGCCCGCTGCGGCTCCAGCCTCCACCCCGCGCGCTCCCTCCCCGCGCCGCCGCTGCTGCCGCACCTGCCACCATGTCGCCGCCGCCGGGTCATGTCTGACTCTCTCTGGACTGCGCTTTCCAATTTCTCGATGCCCTCCTTCCCTGGCAGCAGTATGTTCCGCCGCACCAAGAGGTAGACCCCCGATCCCCCAGACCCTGACCGGGCCCTCCCCAACCCAAGCCTCCCCACCAGCCGCTACCGCAGGGCGGGGCCCGGGATGCTGCACCCGGCCCAGCTGCGCCAGAGGTGCTCGCGCTGCGCCTTTCTGCCAAGAATGGGGCTGCATGGAGGGCAGCGTAGGGTCGAGGCTGGGGGGCTCGCTGGAAAGCACCGCCGCGGGGGCAGGGGGCCGCTCCGGGCGGGGGGACGCGGTGCCTTTGTCTGCGGGCCCTGTGGGCTCTGGCAGCTCAGAGAGGGTAAGGGGAGAACGGGAGGGTGGGGGCTCGGCACCGTCAGAACAATAGCCGCAGCCTGGCCTCCCCCCACCCCCATGCCGCATGTTCTGGTCGCGCTAATATGCTCAGTCACTGCAGCGGGGGCGGGGTGAGGGGATTGAGGGGCTGGGGTCTCTTTCCTCCGAAGCTTGGCTCCTGCGGGGCAGAAAGAAGAGGGGTACTTTTATCATGACACAAACTTACCCCCAACACAGCCGCATACAGAAAATAGTGACCCACAGCTTCACATAGGACATGATGGCACACACACATACACACACAACAGCCCTAGTGGCCCAGATACACCCGGGAGGCGCTATGAATACCCAGTCTTACAGTGGCCGTATGTCAGACACCTGCAAAGACACAGAGGGGCACCCCCAGCATCACACGGTAACAAGTAGACCCACAGGTATACTATTGTGGACACTTGTGTGCACCCAATAAGATGTTACCTGTATGGCGACACACACATGATTATGCCACTGGAGATGCACACAGGCACATATGTGTGTGGAAATGACATCTATGCATCCAGTGTCATAACACACGATGTCACCCTAAGCATGTCACATGCTGTGTCACATGGGTGCCAACATAAACAGACACAGGGAATCTCACAGACAATGAGACACACAATGCCACATATTATCACATTCGAGACTCATACAGGGAATGTCACACACGGTGGCATGTTTAGACATGCCCAGTATCACAGGGTGTTAAACCTGTACACAGTAGATGCCGCTTGTGGACACTCACGGGGAATGTCACACACAGACACAATAGCAGCATCTCATACAGACTTAGAATGCCACATGAAGACATAGACACACATGGAGCAGAAAGCATACATTATGCAGATGCTACAGCACACGGTTGCACATCTAGTCATGCACCAGTGGCATTACACATTGTCACATAGGCACACACAGGCTGTGTCACACAAGATAAACACAAGGACTGTCACGCATGATGCCACACTAGTACATGCCCAGTGCTGAACTCACACACTGTGTGCCACACGTGGATATACACAGCAAATGTCACACACAGACACAGTACCTCCAACAGCGTCACATAGACGACATGACTATCTATGACTGACGCTATGCCCCACATGGCCACATATATCAGAAGCCTCTCACATACACATCACACCTGCATCCTCTTCCATACACAGTCCTGCCAAGGCCACCACTGCCTCCTCCTTTACTACCTCCTTCTCTGAGTAGTGGTTTTCTGGGGACACTTCCCAGAAAAGGAGGGCGGCTTGTTGGGCTCACAAACTCCCTACCTGGGCTGCCGCCCGGCCCCTTTGCCTCCCCTTCCCCACAGCTGCCGCACCAGTAACCGGAAAAGCCTCATCCTGACCAGCACTTCGCCCACGCTGCCGCGACCCCACTCCCCACTGCCTGGACACCTGGGTGAGAGAGGTGATGGGTGTGGACCAGAGGATGTGTGGCCACAGGAGAGGGGTGTGTCCATGCCGCAGG